TTGCTGCTTCCACACCTGCTGCTTCCACACCTTTAAACCATAAAACCCGAGCATCCTAAACCTTCAACCCTAAACCCCAAACCTTCATGAAGCCTTATAAACCCCAAGCTCTCCATCACCGGCTACAGCCTTAAGAAATTCCTCAACACCCTGTCTGCTCTTCACTACAAACTCCGGAGACCCAAACATAGAGGCAAAGCACCCACAAAACAACCCTCAACCCTCAATCACACCCTAAACCCTAAACCCTAAACCCTAAACCCTAAACCCTAAACCCTAAACCCTAAACGGCCCTAAACCCTTGGTGCGCACCTCAAGTGCCCTACCTTCTTTTGAACTCCTTCCCTTCCTGAAGCTCACATCTTCAACGAAAGCGGGCAAGGGCGCCCAACCTGTGGGGGAACGGCTACCCTTACTCTGAGGCAAGGACGAACACCCTGAAGCCCTCGAGCCCTCAAAAACCTGGAGTGTTGGGAAGCCCCAACCGCCCCCACCCACCTGGTTAGGGTTTAGGGGTTTGGGGATTAGGGTTTAGGGGTTTGGGGTGTAGGGACATGCCAGGTCGTCTTTGAGAGGCCAGCGAAAGGTGCTGTGAAGTGCTATCACTACGCTCCTTTGACTTGATGAATGGCTAGGCCTCAGGGCTTAGAGGGTTTACGGTTTGGGGCATTTGGGTTCCCTAAGCCCTAAACTCTGAACCCAAGACTTGCTGGCCCAGGAAAGCAGGGAAGCAACCCTCAGCCCGAACATCACTCAAAGGAGTTTACGGTTAAGGGGTTCGAGTACAAAACCCTAAACCCTAAACTCTAAACCCCAAACCCTAAACCCTAAACCCTAAACCCTACTTGGGGTCTCAAGATCCTGGGGGTGGGATATGCCTTTGGGGATCGTTTGGGGGCCCGAGCCTAGCCACTACACCCTCCACCTGAGACACGACAGGATGCCTGAGTCGACCCAAACCCTGAAGCTTAGGGTTTAGGGTTTAGGGTTTAGGGTTTAGGGTTTAGGGTTGAGGGTTTAGGGTTCAGGGCTGAGGGCTTAGGGTTGAGGGTTTAGGGTTTCGGGCCGAAACCCTAAGCCCTAAACCTCAGCCGCGTGCCCACAAGGATTCGTATTCCGGCGTGGAAGAGACCGTGAAAGTGAAAGGCTGGTTCGGGTTAAGGGCTGCTTAGTTTAGGGTTTTTTGTTTTTGAACCCTAATCCTAAACCCTAAACCCTAAACCCTAAACCCTAAACCCTAAACCCTGAGTTTAGTTTTTCAATAGGAGGGCTCGGGGTTTGCACTACCTCTTGCCGGTCTACGTGCTGCATGGTTTGGTACTCCGGCTGCATCTGAAATGCAGGTTCAGGGTTTAGGGATTATAGGGTTTAGTTTAGGGCTTAGGTTTTAGGGTGGAGAGTTTAGGGTTTAGGGTTTAAGGTTTAGGGTTTGAAGTTATTCGTGGTCCTGTCTCTGGGACATCGGACAGATCTGTAGGTTCTGGGAACTGGAAAGCTGTTTACCCCGAAACTCCGAATCCATAGACCCTAAACAGTAAACCCTAAACCCTGAACCCTAAACCCTAAACACATTCAGGGTTCAGGGCTAGGGTTTAGGGCTCAGGGTGTTGAAATCCCCGAGCTCCTCTTTACCCCTGTGGGAGGCACTACGTACATCTCGGCCGTATGCCACACCTCTGGGAAAGTCGGCCCACCCGGCTCGAAAGGCGTCAAAGGCCAGGGGCCTTGCTTCATTCGACCCTCAAAATCTTGGGGTTTAGGGTTTAGGGTTTTTGAATTTGGGGTTTTGGGCTTAGGTAGTTAAGGGACCTATAAATCCGATAGTCCCTAAAAAAGCCCTGTAGAGCCCATGAACTCTGTAGACCCGAAGGAAGAGCCTACTAACGCATGTGGACTCCTTAGGCCCTAGCCCCGAGAATCCCAGACACACTCAACCCTAATCCCTAAATACACCCTAACACCTCCTAAATAAGCCCTAAACCCCAAACCCTACAGGGTGGGGCCCCCTAGTTATATTATAAGTAGAGTTATAAGGGCCCTAAATTGGGTTATAAGGACCCTAAGTTAGGTTATAAGTCTCTTAACTACAGTTAGTATAGTAAGGGGGCCCCACCCTGTAAACCCCAAACCCCAGACCAAGGAGGCTTTTCGCGCTAAGCTCTGGGGTTTGGGGGCTTCCCTTTTCTCCCGTGAATGGAGATTTGGGTTTAGGGTTTAGGGTTCAGGGCTTCGGGTTTTTAACTTTTGGGTTTAGGGTTTGCTGTTCGGTTATTCTGTGTGTACCTGCTAGCTGTAGTTCCTGAAGACACTCACCAAGGACTTAGAAAGTTCAGGAAAAGAACTGCGCTTGAAAGCTCGAGGTTGGGTTTAGAGTTTAGGGTTGTTTAGGGTTTAGGCTTTGGGCTTTGGGCTTTAGGGTTTTGGGTTTCGGGTTTGGGGTTTTGGGTTCTGGGTTCTTTTCGATCTTGGTCGGCAGGTGTGGGAGGGGATTGGGTTGCGAAAAAACTGATGCAGGATTTTAGCATCAACAGACCCAACTTATTGACAATAAGCATACAAAGTTCCCTGAGCCTTCAAGAACCTGGGAGAGGTGCATCTCAGGGAGCGCGTATGGGGACGGGATGCCCTGACCCTTTCGAGTTTAAGACGGAATATTGGGGAGCACTTGTGATGTCACTGTTTCGGTAAAGGGGGGGGGGGTGGGCGGGAGGGGTGAAAATTGGGGGGGGGAGGGGGCGAGTTTCTGTGGCCACGCTTTCCAGGAGACAAGGGCCCCGCGGGCAACGCTGGCGCACCAGGTAGCGCCGGCTCAAAAGGCGAAGCAGGCACGAACCCTGTGAGTTTGAGAGGGTCCGGCATTTGGGGGTTTGGTTTGGGGGCTTATAAAGCTCTGGGAGATTCGGCTTCGAGAGTTTCATCCGGGTTTAGGCCTGGCTTTAGTTGTTGCGGGCTTCTATTGCCTCGTAGCATTGACTTCTCGAGGCCTCTTCCCCCCAGCCTGCAACCTTGCATTGGCCTAAACCCTAAACCCTAAACCCTCAGCCAGCCCCAAAATGCTGACCTGTCAAGGCATACCCAAAACCAGAAACCCCTAACGCTAAACCCGAAACCCTAAACTCTAAACGCAACACATACGCCACACAAAGCCGAACTCCACGTACCAAGTCTGCGGGGACCCAGAGTAGGCCCTTATTCCCCTTCTTTCAGGGTTCAGGTTCCCTTGGAAGCCCTGTAGATAACAGAAAGGGCACCCTTTTATTCCTAGGATACTCTTCGGTCACCCTAAACCCTAAACCGCAAACCCTAAACCCCAAACCCTAAACCCCAAACCCTGAACCCTAAACCCTAAACCCTAAACCCTAAACCCTAAACCCTAAACGCAGGCGAGGCAGGAGCTGTTGGTGAGCCTGGCGAGGTTGGCGAGACTGGGCCCGAGGGCAAGGCGCGCGGGTGAGACGTGGCTTCTAAGGTTTCGGGGGTTTCGGGTTTAGGGTTTAGGGTTTAGGGGTTTAGGGGTTTGGGATTTAGGGCTGAGGGTTAGGATTCTTAAGGTTTAGGGCTTGGGGTTGGAGGTGAGGGATAGGATTCTGAGTATTTGTTGGTTTTGGGGTTTAGGGTTTGGGGTTCACGGCTTGGGGTGGTGTGTTTTCGTTTAGAGGGTCTGGAGTGTTAAGAGTTTGGATGCGGAATTGTTTTTTGGTAGCCTTTCACTCTTTGGGGTAGGACTCAGCCACCGAAACGAGGACACCCATGTGTTTTTCGGGTTACTATTTTTTATAGGGCGGGCCTGAATACTTATAGGGTACCCAAAAAGGGACCATCATGTTGAGGACTGAGCACATGGTCACATGATTGTCATTCTTAGAATACTTCAAATTGTAAGGAAAGATTCTTCCATACCCTTAATGTCCTTCAAGGGAACGCCCAAGGGGAATGTTGAGGTGCGGTTCAGGGTTTAGGGTTGAGGGAAGTAGGAATGCGCGTTTAGGGTTTATGGTGAATATTTCTTACAGTCTGAAGGGTTGGTCCTTCATATCGCATTGGTTCTGAAACGTTGCGAGTTTTGTCGGGCCCTGAACCCAACACCCTGAATCCTAAACGCCAAACCCTAAACTGCATTCAAGAATGAATCCGCGCACCCCGTTACCCCCATGGCCTGCTCAGTACATCTAGGGTTTACGGGATTTCGTGGGTTTAAACCCTAAACCTTGTTTCCTAGGCCTGAAACTGAAACTTTAACTCAGCTTAAGCTTCCTCCCTAGGCGTAATCGAAGATCCCAAAAATCTGCAGGTTGGGGCTTATACTTGAAGGTTCATGGTACTTACTAACCAATTATAACTGTACTTATAACCCTACTTATAATACCCCTAAAGGGCCTTATAGGGGTTATCCCAATTGTAAGTAGGGTTATAAGCCCAGTTATAATTGGTTAGTAAGTACCATGAACCTTCAAGTAGGGTTTTAAGCTTAGCCCCTATAGGCCTTATTGAGGATCCCAAGATTTTGAGGTTGGGGTTTGATGTTCAGGGTAATTTACTTACTGTTACTTACCAGGGAAGGGGGGAATTAGGGCCTGTGTATACCCTTTAAGGGATTATGTAGGGTACCTCATTCCCTCATTCCCTACTAACCAACAGTAAGTAACCCTAAACCCTAAGCCCTAAGCCCTAAGCCCTAAGCCCTAAACCCTAAACCCTAAACCCTGTTTGGGTTTGGGCGAAGCAAGCTGCTCCCTGTCATGGGGAGGAAGCGGATGTGGCTGGTTTCGCGACCGTGGGTGCCACGAGCTGCAACCTAAACCCCAAAACCCTAAACCCTAAATCCTAAACCCCAAACCCCAAACCCCAAACCCTAAACCCTAAACCCTAAACCCTAAACCCAGCCTCTGCCCCTCTGCTGTGCCACCCCCTGCTTGTGCAATCGCAGGAGTGGCCGGGAGGCCCAAAGCCGGTTTCAGTTCAAGGCCCCTAGAGGTGTCCAGGGTTTAGGGTTTGGGGTTATGGGTTTAGGGTTTAGGGTTTGGGGTTCAAGAGTGCTGGTTTTGCTTTGTTTAAAGTCAGAGTGTTTAGCATCTTCCAGCTTGGAAATTGCCAACTTGCCCGCTTATCAGTCCATTGCGCTCGCCATGGCCGAGCGAACCATCCCTATTGCTGTGAACCTGCTGAGCGGTGAGCACGTCTGCGACATCGTGGCCGCACACACGTGGACCGTGCGCCGTGTCAAGGAGGCCATTGATCACAAGTTGGATGGGGCCGGCACCTCCCCACTGACCAGGCGAGCCGTCAAGATGAACCTCTGCATCAAGGAGCAGCTGTTCCCGGATCGTGCCTTGCTCGGTGACGTGGTCGCAGCAAGCGCGGGTGTGGAGGTCTTGCAGACGACGCTCGTGGCAAGCGGAAGGTACGACGGCACCTACAAGGCCGAGGTCCCATACAACGGGTCGTTTCTGTTTCAGATTTCGAGCTCCTCGGTGCAGATGCTACACGGCGAGATTTACCCAGAGGAGGCTTCGGAGATTCACTGGGACAAGGTGGACCCAAAGAAGTGTAGCTTCACCGTGTTCAAGAGGGGCACTTCGGAGTGGGCGCAGATTAAAACGCACAAGAAACATACGGATGAGGAGGGGCTCAGGGAGACTTTCGAAATTGAGTTCCTGGGTGATGAGAAAGAATATGGCTTCATTGGCAAATTTCAGCGCACCTATGAAGGTCCGTTGGGCATCGCAAGAGGCACCTGCATCGACGAATGAATGGGCAGCGGAATCAGAAGCCCATTGAATCAAGGACAGCAAGCAAGGACAGTGGACAGGGGCTTGCAGCAGCAAAGGCATGCGACTGGAAGACAAGAATGACAACCGCTCCTTCTCCAGGACCCGGAGTAGGCCCTTTTGTTAGGGTTGGGGTTCCCTTGCAAGCCACTTAAAACCAAAAAGGGCACCCTTATAATTCCTAGGTTACTCCTGGGTCTAGTTCTACAAACCCTGACGCTCCCCCCCCCTCAATCCCACGAAAGCTAACCCTCGAACTCAACCATACCTGGGGTCAACAAAAACCTTAAATAGGAGTCCTCGGAGCCTTAGGGTTAATAGGGAATGTAGCATTCGGAACCCGGGTAGCTACTTCCCATAGTTCAATTCCCGATTTAAGAACTCAGAAGTTCTTGTAAAGGGTGGGGTGGTTCGGGGAAGCCCATGCGGCCAGCTGGGCAGTGAAACCCTAAACCCTAAAAGGCGTAGCCGCTGCGTGTTGCGTTTGGCATTCCACACTCTTTTTTTGTCACAGGTACGGGTGCCCATAGGGTTTAGGGTAACCCTTTGCTGTTAGGGGAGCCTCGAAAGGCCTCAAAACGCTTTGCAAGCCCCGAGGCCGAATAAGGCTTAGTCAGGGGATGATGTTCTGTTGCGGTGACTTGGGACTTGGGGAACCAAATCTGGATCGGAGGGTGCAAGTTGCTTTTGTGCTCCTGGTTTTGAAGGGTTCTTTGTTTGAATCCTGCAAGTTAGAGCGTGGGGATTCGGGTGTCGGGTTGATGGGATAGGGTGCTTGAAGTCTTAGAGTTCAGAGATATTTAAGTACTAAACCCTTAAACCCTTAAACCCTAAACCCTAAACCCTAGGTTTCGGGTTTTGTTTTGACCGCCGCCACCAAGGTCAGCTGGGAGGGGCGGGCGGCCTGTGCCTTGTGATCACGATTGCGACACAGCTGCAAGTCCGAGTCCAGGTTTTGGTTTTTAGGGTTTAGGGTTGGTGGTTTAGGGTTTAGGCTTTAGGGTTGAGGCATTTTAGGGCTTAGGCTTTAAGGTTATTGGGGCTTGGGGTGTTTGGCTTTCGGTTATTTGGGTGCAGGGCCCTTGTAGGGTTTCGGTTTTCGGCTTTTTGAGTTCTCGGTTATTTTTTTGGTTTTTTTTGGTTATTTGGGCTTGGGGATGTGGTTTCGCCTTTGGGAGAAATGTGTGAAAGCGCTGCGTCTTCCATGTCTGGAAACTAGCAGGACTCTCTTGCCCGAAGGGTCCATGTACCTATATAGTCTATACTTGGGCCCTAGAGCTACTATATGGGAACCCCTATAAGGCCCAAGTATATACTATATAGGTACATGGACCCTTAGGGTTGGTATGAAAAGGTGTCAGCACTCAAGCCCGATGTCTGTCTCATGGCGACAAGGACTGGAACCTGCACCTGCACACCCTAGAACAGAAAATCCCAAACTAAGGCTCACCACGTAAACACCAAACCCGCAACCCAGAGCCCCAAACCCTATACACCCTCAAGCCCTTGTACCTTGAAATTCGTGAAAAGGTTTCAAAAGAAACTCCTCGAAACTTCCAACGAAAACTTCAACTTCCCCCGAACCCGAACCCTGAATACTTCAAGTAGACTCACTTAGGGGGTCCTGATTATCAGCGTGCCGTACAAAAGGGGCCCACCTTAAGCCCTAAACCCTGCACCCTGAACCCTACAAACCCGAAACCCGAAGCCCTAAACCCGAAACCCTAAACCCTAAACCCTAAACCCTAAACCCTAAACCCTTATTCCATGTGGATCCAGCTCCTTCAAAGGGCATCGGGCTGCTCCCCAGGCTCGGAGGCTCTAAGAAGATGGCCAGAACTGACTTGAGGAGGGTTTAGGGTTTAGGGTTCAGGGTTCAGGGTTTAGGGTTTAGGGTTTAGGGTTTAGGTTTAGGGTTTAGGGTTTAGGGTTTAGGGTGTAGGGTGTAGGGTGTATGGTGTAGGGTTTAGGGTTTAGGGTTTAGGTTTTTTTCGTTTAGGGGGTTCAGGGTTGACTGGTTCAGGGTTATGATGAAGAAGAAGAATAATAAGATGAATATTATGATGATGATGATGATGGTGGTGGTGGTGATGATCGTTGCAGAAGTGCCAAGCAACCGCTCATAGCACCCTAAACCCCAGTGCTTTGAAATTGAGCAACGCGTATGGCAGCATCGAAGACGCACATTTCTCTGGCACTGTCGCCCAGCCGGAAATACCCAAAACTCTCACGATCCCAAATGCCTCAACGTTCTGTTCTGAACCGGAAGCCCCACAACCCACCCTGAAAACCCTACAGACCCGAAACCCGAAATCCTAAACCCTAATGTTGAACCCACAGATCCCTGGAACTGCTCCCCCAACGTCAGTGGGTCGCCCAGGCGGTGCTGGTTATTCTGTTGCAGAAGGTGTCGCCCAAGAACAAGGAGCAAGGCGCACCCCTAAAACCCTTTTAACCCTGGAGGAGTTTAGGGATTGAGGGGCTTGAGGGGTTAGGGTTTCGGGCTCAGGGTTAGGGTGTAATCAGAGGCTTTACAAGGCCTAAATAATTCCTAAAGCTGTGTATGCTTGTGGGCTGGAAAGGGTAAACCGTTCCAGGGCCTGTGCTCTAGGAACCAAGGCACCCTATAAACCCTACACCCTCTCGCCCGAAGACTATTCTATGCAAGTTTTTCTCGGGTCCTAAACCTCTAAACCCTGAACAACTGTCTTTTCTCAAGGGGTATTGGCAACTGGGTAGGCCTCTGTGAAATTTTATGCTTCCTCTATTGTGTTTAAGAGGAACATACTGAGGAACCTTTTTCAGAGGGTTTTCAGGGGTACTCTGGCAATGATATTGACCCTAAACCCTAAACCCTAAACCCTAAACCCTATACCCTAAACCCTAAACCCTAAACCCTAAACCCTAAACCCTAAACGGCTCTGGGCCCTGTGCTCAACTTCGAAATGACGGAAGGCCCGGGCGAGGAGGCGGCGCCCGAGGAAGAGGGCAACTATGAGGAGGGCTACGAGGGCGAAGCAGGCCGGCAGCTTGCTGAGGGGTCGGGGGGGGGGGGGTTGGGGTTTAGGGTTTAGGGTTTCGGGTTTGCGGTTTAGGGTTTAGGGTTTAGGGTTTAGGGTTTAGGGTTTAGGGTTTAGGGTTTAGGGTTTAGGGTTTGGGGCTCAGGGTATGGAGCTCGGGGCTCAGGGTTTAGGGCTACCTCGAGAAACTCTTCACCTTGAAAGCAGTAGCCTTGCTTACCCAAGAAATTCCGGAAGCTTCCCTTCTCCAAGCATTTAAGAAGAAAAGGTTTACACTACTGTTATTGGTGAGTGTATGTTTGGGTGTCCCAGCCCGAAAACCTGAACCCTCATATCGGTAACCCTAAACCCTCATTAAACTCCAGGCCCTAACTGTGTAAGCTCTTGGGTGGGCAGGACGAGGCCTGACGAGGCCCGAACTCCCTGAAGAACTCACAACAACTGACATCCTAAAGTCCTAAACTCTGTAGCCTACTGCATACCCTCATGTATGACATCCCTAAATCTTACACATAAAAAAACTCCACTTCCTAAGCATCAACCGCGTTTGATGCTACTAAGCATCCCGAACAAGGCACGGCAATTGGGGCCGGGGACCGTCTAGCTCCTGTAAAACCCGGCACCCCAAACCCGAAGCCCCAAACCCCAAGCCCTAAACACAAACCCTGAATCAGATCTCTCCCCTCGGAGGCTACGAAGAGGAGCAGTATCCGGAGGAAGCGCAGTAGTAAGTGCAGGAAGCACTTCCACTGTTGTCCAGCCGGCTGCGGGGGCTCGAGTTTTGGGGGTTTAGGGTGTTGGGTTAACCAGCTTGGAGCCTTAAACATTTATGGACCTATGTCACCCTATACAATCCTCATTAGCCACATAGAACCTGCAGAAATGTCACTATTAGCAACCCCCCCCCCCCAATCCGTCCCCCCAGCCGTCTGGCTTGTCTCACGATATCTGGATGTACAGCCAGCATGGCATGACCTGAGCAAACCTCGCACTCCTTCAGCGTCCATGAGAGCCGATCTTACAAAAAAAGATGCGCTTAACTGCGCGCCGATACTTTATGCCCTAAACCCCCAAACCCCAAACCCTAAATCATCTTCTTATGGCTTTGCGCACGTGCTCAGAAGCCCTGAAACCTAAACAGCCCCGTTGCGCATCAAAGGACCTCGAGCCCCAAACACATTATGTAGAACTGCAGGGTGTCGGATGCAGCCTTTTTTCGCCACTATATGAACTCGTCTAAGCCTGGAGTGAGCTTCTTTTCCTTTCTCCCTTCCGGAGGCTCAGCCAGTAAGGAGGAATGCTATAGCCTCCTTCGTAGAGGGTATACCCGCAACAAAGCAAGAGGAGCCTACCCAAAAACTCCGAACCCCCCCCAAAACCCCCCAAAACCCCCCAAAACCCCCCAAAACCCCCCAAAACCACCCAAAACCCCGCAAAACCCCCCAAAACCCACCAAACCCCCCCAAAACCCCCCAAAACCCCCCAAAACCCCCCAAAACCCCCCAAAACCCCCCAAAACCCCCCAAAACCCCCCAAAGCCCAGCACCCCCCAAAATCCCTCCAAAATCCTTCCACAACCCCCAAACCTCCTTACAACCCCCATCAGCAACTTCAGCAGCACTAAGATGCCGAGGCTGCTAGAAATAGGGTTTAGGGTTTAGGGGTTTAGGGGTTTAGGGGCTTAGGGGCTTCGGGGTTTGGGGGTTTAGGGGTTTAGGGGTTTAGGGGTTTGGGGGTTTGGGGGTTTAGGGGTTTAGGGGTTTGGGGGTTTAGGGGTTTAGGGGTTTAGGGGTTTGGGGGTTTAGGGGTTTGGGGGGTTTAGGGGTTTAGGGATTTAGGGGTTTAATTAGGGTTTAGGGGCCTTTCATGCAAGCTCGTTTTGTTTCGTGGTGCTCTGACACTGTGTGTATACCCTCCTAGCCAGTAGAACCTTGCTCCCGACTCACAGGGTTTATAATCGTG